ATGACTGACATATTAAAAATGTCCTTCACAAACACAACCATCTCTGGGGATGCTGATGCTTTGATATGCTGGGCCCTTTGCTCTCTCCCAGCCTGTGTTTTGCAAACCTAACAAAAGAGTAATTAAAAATTTTCTGTTGGCTTTCAAACGTGTTCATCATCAAAGCAAAAGCAATCAAATACATTAAAATTCTCCTTCACTCAGTGTGAAGAAAAGTTCATGCAATGCCATTCTCCAAGGCACCCTACACACCTACACCAACACAAATTCCATAAGGATTCCTCCCTCAGGACTCCTCTATGTGCTCTCTGCAGCTATTCACTCTTTTGGGAGCCAAGCATTGGCAAGCCAGCCAAAAATACCTACTGCCTTTTGAAAAAACACGTATCTATTAATCCACAATTCTTAACAGCTGACAAATGAAAACAGATTTTTTTGTCCCATTTCAAAATGTTTTTGAGCAGCTTAATTTGCCACACAAGTTGTTTGTAGAATTTCATATGGCACTCACATCTTTTCTCTTACTGTGCAAAATTCACACAAACTGATAAAAAATTACCATTGAATTTTAAGACTCTTTTTTAATGTTATGAAATACACTCAGCTGGCATAAATTTCTAGAGTATCAGTGACTTAAAGAGAGCTACTCAGATTTACAAGCCAAGGGTCTGACCATGAGGAACTGACCCACAGCAATTCTCATAGCATGGGGTAGATGTCATAGGATAGTCACAAGAAATAAAGTGTGTTCTTGGCAATGAAATCAGTCTGATGACAGAAGGGTCTTGGAGTAGTTCACATGTAAGTAACAAACAAAGTGCTCTCCATTTCGCTGACAATTAGGTGTCCTGACCTTGACTAATCACGTTGCATCAGGCAGGCAAATGCATGTGAAATAAAGAATTTTCCAGGTGCTGTTACACTCTGAACTCTAGTTCCCCTCAATGCCTCAGCCTTTGCACCATGAACCTCGACAAAGAAACCCAGAGGCAAAGCACAAATTCTGTTACCCTCCACTAAGATGTAACATGCTGGAGCAGGTCACTGGCACAGGTAGTCAGAGCATTCCTGCAGTGCCCTGGCCCTTAACAAATTTGTGAGCAAAATTAGAATCTCCTTCATTTCCCAGAAAAAAGAACATACCTCAACTGTCTGCATCTGAAGTTCCTGTAAAACAACAAAATGTACTCAGGTTCAACCAAGAGGCAACAAACAAAAAGGAACCACTTTTTGGCCTGACATGAAATTTTAACTAAATTGTATGTAAAGGCTTCAGAAAAACGTTGTTGTTCATTACTAATCCAAAACATGTCTCAATTATTCATTTATAACTTATTACTGTATAAAAGTTTTGCACTACAGCACCAAACAGAAAAAAATAAACTTACTCTACTTGAGATATTCTGAGATCTCTCTGACATCCAAAACATTGCAGTTAAAGACTCTTTCCAAGCATTTCTATCAGGAAAAAGAGTACCTTAAAAAACCTCAATAGTACAGCACCTACCCCAGTAGATTACTGCTCTTTGTGGGAGAACATTTTAAGTAAAGAAACACTTGCTGACTTGTAGGATTTCTGAAGTAGAAGAAACTTGTAAAGTTAAAACAACTTATTCCTTCCCTGGGATCCTTGAAACACTAGATGATGTTTTGGAATGCTTTTATAACACATGTGATAGTGATAACAAACTGGATTTACTCACTGACAAAGATACTTGTCTGCTCTCTGGCCTAAACCAAAATACTCCTTCTGGAGACATGGCGTGTAGAATTCCAACTGCTTCAAGTAGGCACTTGTAATTGAGAAAGCTCCTGGGCAGGGTTTTATTGACCAACAAGGAAGGAAAAACTAAAGATGTTGGCCATATTTAACCCCCATTTAACATACAGATATGGGTATAAGCATATTTTTAATGAACATGATGGAAATAAGGGCTGCATCAGACTGCTGCACTCACCACAACGATTTGACATGAAAGGCAGCAGTCAGAAATCAGCCACCACTGAAAATCACCCTTAGAGATGGCAACAGAAGTTGCAACTAGTTATCAGAATTATCACTTGTACACTGCACACTCACTAGACAAGACTACTATAAAAATACCTTTTTGGAAAACACCAGAATACTTGTGATTACATTAAAATACAGGTCTCGAGAGTTCCATTCCATGGTTACATTATGTGCTCTATAATACCCTGTGCCATGCTGTCCTGTCTGTGAATAGTTACAATTAAAATATGGAAGAATAAACAGTAGCTTTATTCAACTTCTAAGCACAGAAAATGCCATGCCTTAAATATGTCAAACTATGACATCATTCTTCATGCAATTCTCATTTCTTGCGTTGATCATCAGAGAAACAATTCACTTATTAGTATAATTAATCTTCAGAGCTGAAATCCTTTTAACAGTCCAGCCCCTTCATCATCCTCTCTTCCCAGCTTTTCTTTCACAAGTATTATGTTATGTGTTGTGGTAACAACACATTAAACAAACCAAAACATTTAAATATCTCGAGTTTTGCATGAAAGCGGTTTTTTATTGCTACTCAGTAACTTTGTGTCCTTAATCATAACCCAAGCTAGTGTAAGGTTACCATCTCCCTTTATGAAATCCCTGACCCTGCAAAGCAAATACATCCATTATTAAACCATCTTTACTCACCACGACACTCACACTGTTGCTCACACTCCCCGACACCACACTGAGAAGGAATCTGGGGGAGGTGAGTGCTGTCTTAGCAGGACCCCTGCTCCAGCTGCAGGGTTGTGTTTTCACAGAGAGCTTCAAAGGCCTGGGACAGTGTTAACAAAGCCTGCAGACCAGGGATACACAGGCATTGTGCTTTTTGCTGGATCACAGCATTATTTTGTAATTTATTTGCTAAACTAATCCCAAACTGCTGAGTCTACGCATTTGTTAACACATTTAGACCACATACTGTCAATGGAGCAGCTATTTGAGCTGTCAGCTGTATTTATTTAAAGCTGTCAGCTCTAACACCCAGAGTGATTTATAGTACACCTTTTTGTTAAGTCTGCTACTATGCAGCTGACGGAAATGCCAAAAATAGTATCCAGAAATAGGTTCAACAAACCAAAACGTATGCCTACACAATACTATTTCTTACTCCTATGTTATTTTAAAAATAAATTAGAAAGCAGTCATAAAGTTGTTAATTGCTTGCCTCTTGATGCAGGGGTTGTCCTGCAAATTCCCCATGTACTTATGCAGCAGTTTAATTTTACATAATCATGGGCTAGGAATCACATTTCAAACTCGGGGTGATCTGATGCCACCTTGCAAATGTCAAGGTGTGGTGTTACTGCACATACAATTAAGAAGATGGGATGAAATTGGAACCACAATCGAAGTTTCTTCCTGCCCTGTTAATGTGTACATTAGAAATGTAATAATTTAATTGAATCTCTTATCACTTACACTTTGTAGATTGTCACAAATACTTCCACCAAAAGCAATGTCAAGTTACAGATGAGGTTGCACCAAGCAGAATTATATTTTATCAATCACTACACATATATTAATTCCCTTCCTAGGAAACGTTTGGCAAGGAAACACCTTCCTTAGCAATCACCAATTACAGTGAGTCCCCACTGTCCAATTGCACATCCCTCCACAAGGTAACCCCTGCACCAGTATTTGTATTACAGCAGTAAACAGGCACCTTAGTCATAGCCCAGAATCTCCATCTTGTTAAGTCCTGACCAAATACACATCTAAATATTTATAAACAATTATATAAATATTGAAACCAACACAATCCAAAATCTACAGTCACTGCAGTTCCATAATTTCTTTGGTGAGAAATTAATTAACTTGACTATAAATAGCACCAATTTTAAGAATTTCCACATTTTGCTTTAAGTGATAGCATAAAGAAATTAACTTCCCCTCTAACAGTCTTGATCACCACCTCACCCCTACCTGCAGCAGAGCACAAACAAGGAGGGGAACAGCTCTTTTTGTTTGATATATTCAATCCTGACTGGATGTTCCCAGAAATTGTCTCAACTGTACTGCAGCCTTCAAATGGACAGACTATTAAAGAAAGGGCTCATCTGCACACACTACTGAATTTAAACTCAGAGCTGTAGGGTAGAAAACAGGAATTACTGTATGTGGATGTCTTATCCTGACATGTTTGGCCTGATGCTTCCTCAGAGAAACCCTGGGGAGCCCAGTACAGCAGGGCCTTTCCTCATCCTGCTCTGCTGGCAAGGGGCAGGAGTCACCCTCTGCTGTGGCCTCTCTGAAAACACCTGCATGAAATGATAAAGCAGATTCTCTCTGCAGTTTTGGAAACATTTCCTACAACTGTCTGGGAATGCTGTGGCTCGGCCTGTTGTGTCCCTCCTACCCGGCCGGTCCACACATGTAGCTGTTTTTACTCCTAATTTAGTTCACACTGAATTTTATTAAAATGGGAATTGAAAACTAAGAGAAAAGCTTATTTTATTAGTTAAATGCCACTATCTTAAAATGCCAGACAAAAAAAATGAAAAAATAATCAGAACAGACATAATATTTATGGTGAAAGGATTACCTGCACTATGTCATGCTGGATTACATTTCCTTCAACGTACTCAAACTTGTCGATCTCATCTTTCAAACATCGAATTCTAACTCTAAAAATAAATCGTTTCTACTTTTTCCAGCCGCCCTGAACGAGTTAGAGGGGAGTGAACCGCGCCTGTGTTGCCTCTGCGAACAGGGGTGCGCTGGGGCAGAGCGGCACCCCCGGGCCCACCGGCTGGGGCTGCCCGGGAGGGGCTGTGCCCCTCAGGGATCTGCGATTCCCGCTGGAGGTCCCCGCACAGCCCCTCGCTGAGGGAACACCGGGACCCCCCGGACTCCCCTGCCTGGGCTCCCGCCGCTCCCGTGCCCGCCGTGTCTGGCGGGGGCGCTGCGGGTCCATCCCCGCCTGCCGGGAGCGCTTCCCGGCCGATCCTGCTCTTCCGGGGCGGAGGCGGGAGGGCGGCCGGGCCGGGCCGCTGCAGGCGCGGCGGGGCCGGGGCTGGTGCCGGTGCCGGGGCGGCCTCGGGCCGCTCCCGATGGTGTCTGGCGGCTGCCGGCCCCAGGCTCAGGATGGCGGCGGCGGCGGGGGGGACCGGCCAGGAGAAGCAGCTCGCTCCGACCCTCCTCAGTTTCTTCATCTACAACCCCAAGCTGGGGCCCAAAGAGGGAGAGGTACCGGGGGCTGTCGCCGCCGGGGCTGCGGGGACAGGCGGGCACCTCCCGGCGGGGCTGGCCCTGCCCCAGGCCCGGGACCGGCCCCCGACAAAGGCGGCCGGAGCTGCGGCTTTCCCGGCCCGCAGCAGCCCCGGGGATCTGGGTGTCAGCGGGGCCGGGATCGGTCTCTGCTTCAGACCGAACAGGAGCAGTAACCGGGGGGGTTGTCACCGGCAGGGCCTGTATTGGAGATGGGGAGCTGGGCAGGCAGTAACTATGTTTCACTGATGCTGTAACTTTCTCTAAAAATAACTTTCTGGACGTAGATACAATGTGGTTACTATTACCGTTACAGGTTACTGTTTAACTTCGTTAAATTCAAGTTACTGCTGATGTTCTCTTGCTGCTGTGACCCTTAACAAGTAAACTCAAGTTCTAGTCTCTAGCTTTAGAAAACAGCATATTGTGTGGCTCATGTGATAATCTTCAGCTGCAGTAGTTTTTGAACAGAGCAGTGTACTCACATTTTTAGTAGTGACGGGACAGTGAGGCTGAACGTGCCCTCAGCAAGCTCCTGGGTGATTCTGGGTGACTCCAACCCGGGGCAAGCTGTTGGTGCTCTGCAGGGACCTTCGGCGAGCTGGGGAATGGGCCGGCGGAATCCTGGTGGGGCTCAGCGAAGGCAAAGTCCCGTGTGTGGGGTGAAATAATCTCACACACCATGGCAGGTCAGGGGCTGACTGGTTGGAAGCAGCTTTGCAGAACAGGACCAGGGAGTCTGGTGACCAACAGGTCGTACGTGAATCAGCAGCACTTGTGGCAGTGGAGCCGGGCGAGCCGGGCTGTGGCTCAGCAGGGCCAGTGGAGCGATTGCTTCCCCCTCTCCAGCACGTGTGGGACTGCTGGTGGGTGCTGTGTTCCTCCAGGGCTTCCCAGGGTAGCAAAAATACTGACAAGATGAAGCAAGCCCAGTGAAAAGGTCTCGAGCCAGTCTGTGGCGTACCAGGAGAGCCTTCAACTGTATTTGTGCAGCCTGAAGAACAGACGATGTGGAAGAGGGTCTGAGGGCAGTTTCACCAGCCTAAAGAATGGCTGGAGATGATGGAATTGGGTTCTTGAAGTGAAAGAATGAGACGTAATGGATGAAGTTCCAGCAAGGGAAATTCTGATGAGCTAGAAGAAAAACATTCTTCACAGTGAAGTGGTCTAATAGGAGAGCAGGGCCTGGAAAGGTTGTGGAATTTCCATCTTTGGATATATTGAAAACATGACTGGACAAGGCCTGGAGTAATCTGAGCTGGCTTTGAAACTAGCCTTGCTTTGATCTGGCTTTGAAGCTCGCCTTGCTTTGAACTAGCTGAGAAGTGATTTCAATAGCCTTCAATTTATAAAGTATTTTGAGATATCATGGGATGACTGACTGCTTAAGTGTGCTTAAATATGCTTTTAATCCATTATTACAGAAGCCCATTTTGGTACAAGATAAAATTCTGCCTAGGAAATACAGGGATTAAAGTTAAAAAACAAGCAAACCATGTACTCAGTATTCTTTAACTCTGATTCTGTTAAAATTCATTTGCTTGGATTCTTCTTTTTTCACATTTTAGGAAGAAAAGAAGATTCTCTTCTATCACCCAAATGAAGTAGAAAAGAATGAAAAAATTAGAAATGTGGGGCTATGTGAAGCTATAGTGCAATTCACGAGGTGAGAAGTCTGATTGCATGGCTTGCTGTGTTGGCACAAGCACTGTGTTTTAAATCTCTCAAGTCATATGTCTTCTTGCTGTGACTGTGTATAAATACCTATGCCCACATATATGTCTTCTTTCCAGGACCTTTAGTCCAACAAAACCAGCAAAATCCCTACATACACAGAAGAACAGACAATTTTTCCACGAACCTGAAGAAAACTTCTGGATGGTCATGGTACTTATGCATGTGATCTGCATGTTCCTAAAGCACCATCCTGCAATGTTCTCCATGCATTCTGCATTGTCTAATACCAGCCTGTTCCACTTCCTAGGTTGTACGGAATCCCATAATAGAAAAACACAAAGATGGAAAGCCAGTCTATGAATATCAGGAAGAAGAATTGCTGGTAAGACTGAACTTTCCTTTTTTTTTTTTTATTATTTTAATGGGTTATATTGTATTTTAAGGGTACTTCCAGAAATATCTTAGTTTGATTCTTCTTGAACTGCTGTCAAATTGATTTTTCTATGTATCCATATCTGTCTCCATAAATGGAAAGAGGGCAAAGTATTTTCAGTCAAGTTGAAAGAAGAGTACAAGACAGCGGATTATCCAGGGAACAGTTCAAGATCATCCCATAAACATTAGCAAAATATGCACCCATGAGACTTTAGCTTGGAATAGGTGAATATTTCTAGCTTATAATAGGTGAATATTTCTTAGGATCTGTTTGTTTAATGAAGTTCTTGCAAGCTTTTAAGTCTACATATTTTTATGAGGTTTAAGTATACATGTTACTACTTTCTTAAGACTGCTAGTGCACTACTTCCATTCCTTATTGTGTCCTAACAAAAGGATGGGTGTCATAGGGACTCTATTTTGCCAGTTAATAGTCTTTTTGCATCTGGGTTAAGATCTTAGCCCCAAAAAACCTGCTATGGTGTCCCACCTCCTTCAGCCTTTGACCTGGATGAAGAGAGAGCTGCCAGAAGTAGGTTCATGTTCACTGGCTGCTGGTCTCAGGGAGGGCACTATTTGTAACTGGAATCTTGGGCATGAGTTTGTAAGGTGCTTTGGGTACTAAATGTGAGGGGGGAAGGGACTCCTTTTATTGAAATTGTACTTTATAAGTACAAAGACAGTACAAAGCATTTCTAAATGCTGACTGAAAATGCTATTTAACTTTTCAGAGATTGATTTCTCTAAATTGTGTCTTTGCTGGCTCTTTGAAAACATACATTACGTTTAGCTCAGCCAAAATACTTGTAATTCTGCCTCTGCTTCACTGATGTGCTGCTCTCTTTCCTGCAGGACAAGGTCTATAGCTCGGTCCTGCAGCAGTGCTACAGCATGTACAAGGTAGAGTTAATACCAGAGGCTCCTCTTGGGAAGGGAAGAAGATCCTCATGGTACCCTTTGGGTGTGCAAGCTCATCATTGCTTTGGCATTCTCATCTCATCACTGTTATCTACTCTCTTCCTGCAGCTGAAATGGAATTCATGGAAGAGAAAAATACAGCTCTGTGCTGGTTCAATAGCTTATTGTAATAATAAAAGCCTTCTAATTTTTGTAAAGTCCAAGTTTCCTGGGCAGTTACACTAATAAGTATTTGATTTTGATGGTGTTAGCTATTATCTGCTTGAGAAACAGCCCTGGTTAAAGGCCTTTTACGAAACAAAAGCATAAGACACTTAAATGACACATAAATATTCTGCCTCTGCTGCCATAACTGCCTGGACCCTGCAAATCTGAGATGTTTTTTCAATAAAAAAGGGGTACATTTGGATTGATGTGGAGTACAAATACTGAGGAATGGGAGGTGTATTGTAATCTAGCTATATTCATAGCCAAGTTACAAGAAATTATTGTAAATGATTGCCCAACTAACTGATTTTTTTTTCCTTTTAACTGTTAGCTTTTCAATGGCACGTTCCTGAAGGCCATGGAAGATGGAGGTGTGAAAGGCCTAAAGGAGAGACTAGAGAAATTCTTCCATCGGGTAAGACCTTATTTTTCAGGCACATAAAGTGTGATTCTACATTGGAAATAAGATGCAAAAATCTCCTCTAAGTGGCAGCAGTGTGACTATAAAACAGTGGAAAACGTGTGGTGGCAACACAAAGTATCTGGGTACTCATTTTGTCAAATACTTCCTGCTTCTACTAGCTCAGTAGGTTCTTCAAGTGGAGCTGAACCACAAAGCATGGATATGGCTTGATGGAACAGCTTAGCTATTGGATATTTTACCTAACAGAATCATGTTCATTCTTCGGAAATTCTGTTTTGCTGTTTGACTTGGTTACTATGATACCAGTTTTGAGTTTTATTTGAGTTACTGTTGCAGAATCATTGCCTTTGGAAGGAACCTGGGAAGGTCATCCAGTTCAGCCTCCTACTCAAAGCAGGGAAACACTGTATTTAAACTCTCCTGCCCAGGGCTTTGGATGGTTGAGTCTTGAAAAGATCCAGGGGTGGAGATTCCACACCCTGCGTGCACAAGATGAAGTAGTAAATAGTTTAAATTTTTAACTTCTTCCCCCTACCACACCCCCAGGTGGAATTAGTAGTCATACCTGAGAAGGTTAGAGGAAATATTGTCTTCATTATAACTAGTCTTCAGAATATAATTTCAAAGCTGATGTTTCAGTGAAAGAATGAAAAGCAAAATCTATTTCTGAGCAAGAAATCAAATATTATTCATGTATTTTTCACACTAAGGAACTGACTGAATAGTCTGGCAGAATTTTGAGTTCCTACATGAAAAGTTTCATCAAGCTTTAAAAGGTGGCAGCCAAGTGCCTGCCTGCCCCCATTTTCCTTGTTTGCACAGAAGGAAACAGGACTGCTGTCAGCAGTTAGTGCTCTTGTGGTAGAGATGTGAATCTTGAGGTCCCTGATAAGGATGGAGTGTAGACACTGCGTAATGGTGTTTAAAATTTTGTTCTCCTAACAGATTTTTAAAATAACACAACGTTGTGACAGTGTAAACAGAAGTACAGGCTTTGCTTGTGGATTGGGGAGGGTCTTGTTTTGTTTGTTTGTAAGACTTGTAGGCTTTAGAATGAACACCACTGGCACAAGGAGTACTTTGATGAGTTGATGTGTGCTTCTGTCTATTAAAAATAGACCATGGCAAAAGAGAAAGTAATGTATTTTTATCTTTAAAACATTGTTTTTCTTTGATGTTCCTGCTGAGGATAAAACAGTAATTTCTATAGATTTGTATAATAGAAAGAAACCTAATGAAAATTTCTCTTTTTCATCAGGAAATTAGAAGAGCTTAAAAAATGTAGTCGTGCAAATTGTCTGTTATAACCCTATTGAACAAGTTAGCAACATGTTGCTGGCAGGCTTGCACTGCACTGAAACTCTGAAAAGAAATAAGACTTAGGTTACAAACTGAGAGAAATCTGTCACGCTGTAATTATTACTTGTGTGTTTTTGGTGATGTGAAATGACTGTAGAGGGAGCCATTGGATAACACATCTTTCACAGAGCACTGGATAGTGCATTAGAAATCTCTTGGTAAAGGTTATACTCTATCAAGAAAGAGAACAACAGAAAATATCTCTTCCTTTGCACATTGAAAGCTAATTCTCTGCTCCCAAGACAAGCAGAACAGGAAGGATTTTCTTTCTTTGTTATTCCAGATTATTGGTGTTTAGACTCAAATTTGTAATTTAAATCTACACATTGGCAGTTTTCTGAATTCTGAAAGCCACCTATCATTGTTCTCCCAGTACTTGCAGACACTGCACTTACAGTCTTGTGATCTGCTGGATGTGTTTTGTGGAATCAGCTTCTTCCCACTGGATAAAATGACTTACTTGAAAATTCAGTCGTTTATTAATAGGATGGAAGAAAGCCTGAACATAGTCAAGTATACTGCATTCCTCTACAATGACCAGCTTATCTGGTAGGTACTTCAGTAATTCTTTTGTGTGTCTTCAACTTCTCATCCTATAAATAAGTGTCAAAATAGAAAAGCTTTTGAATCAGTGAAAGAGTTGGATAAAAATGAGAAAACATGAGTCATGCTACCATTCAGTAGAAAAGGCACTGGTCTGAGCTTTGAAATCTCTAGCCTGTATCAAATTATTACTTCCTGGGGAGCAGCTGGAGAAGTGTCCTTGTCATCTCCATCACAAGAGCCTCTGTGAATATACACAGGTTCCTCCATAAGAATTTTTAGTAGTGAAGGTAATTAAATTAAGGATTGGTCTTCATGTAATTCTGTACTAGAAATTGCAATGCTTGTGAAGAGTTCTACTTAAAAATGGATTTAAGAATATCAAACTGGATCTTTGTTTAAGTATAATTTTATTTCTTTTCAGGTTTATGGCTAATTTATATGTGTTTTGCATTTAGCAAATAAACTAACATTGTAATAGAAATTAATGTTCTGGGATTGACTCCACTGAGACACTGAATTGTTGCTGCCCTGGTTTATTATGTGCTCTGCCCGAGTTTTGGTTGGAGGAAAATGTGTGATCTGAACTGCAGCACAAACATCATTTGTGTTTTTTTTCTAGGAGTGGACTGGAGCAAGATGACATGAGAATTTTGTACAAATATCTCACAACATCTCTGTTTCCAAGGCACATGGAACCTGAGGTATTATAGTTGGGTTGGGTTTTTTTGGGCGTGAAAGTGGTTGGTTTGGGTTTTGTGTTTGTTATTTTTTCTTTTCTCCCTGTTTCTCTGATCCTACTAAGGGCTAAAATACCAAGGAGAAATATCTCTCTTCTCTCTGCCTCTAAGCTGGTTTTTCTGGTGTGTCCTTTTTTGCTTCAGTTAGCGGGAAGAGATTCTCCAATACGTGCTGAAATGCCGGGAAATCTGCAGCACTATGGAAGGTGGGTCCTGTTTTACTGTCCCCATCTGCTGCTTCTTCCCTCAAAAACCCTGGGAGAAGTGTGTGTATTTTGAGTACATACCCACACACAGTTCATTCCAGAGGGTTGCACAGTAGGTGCTGCAATGTGAAACCTAACCTCTGGAAAAAAGAGAAAATGCTTCATTAACGTAACTTCACGTTTATTTTTCTTCCCATTGCTCTTAATGCACTGCCTGACAAATTTGGGAATTGCTCCAGTCATTTCTTTTCAATCAGGCACTCCAGACAAAGGTGTAGATTTAATCTAGGATTTACCAATTGCTTTTCCTCTGTCCTCAGCATCAGAGTGGGGAATTCTGCACTTAAGCAGCTGGGCAACATAATTTTGAATAATTGTGGGTTTGGACACCCTTCATCACGAGAATTCCTCTTCCTTGATTTATTGTATTCCTTTGGGATCAAGACATTGGCACACACTCCCTGTCTATGCCCCTCTCCCAAGTTTAGGTGCTTCTAGTACACCACTTCCTACACCAAACTAGTCTGGATGTACTGTTGGACAGGAAAGGAAGGGGCTTCCCCATAGCAACAAAAAAGAGGTTTTAAAGATACTCACAGACTGAAGATGGAAAGAATTTTGTTCCTGTTTCTTTGATGATCTGCACAGCTTTTCCTTGGCATTATTCTGCATTTCTGATGCTGTTTCTGTAACTCTTTGAGGCATATTTGCAAATAATCCTTAAAAAATATAAGAGTGTTGAGATAATATACAAAGGGCTCTGTGCCTGCGTGGATAGCTGAAAACTCACTGTATTCAAATCTATTCATACATGCAAGTAATTGTTAGTTTGGAGAATACCTGTTAAACTGGAGAAACTGAAATACAGGAATTCATCTCACCTGACCTGTTGAATTGTTTTCTAGGTTTCTTACTGGACCTTTAAATCTTAATGATCCAGAAACAAAATGCCGTTTCCCCAAAATATTTGTTAACACTGATGACACTTACGAGGAGCTTCATTTAATTGTTTATAAGGTATTACAGTTTTCTCTGCAATTCCTCCACAGAATTAGGAATCTCTGTACAATTAAGACAGTGATGTGAAGTACTTAAGAGTGTATAGAAAGGTGCACAGATATGACCAGGTTAAAGCAAAGAGACAGAAAAATAACATTTCTAGCAATCAACTTTAAAGCCTGAATCCTCTTTCCCCCTCTCTTGTACCCTCTCCAAAACAAGCAGCTGTTTTATTAAAACAAAGTACCAGCCTTCAGTTGCTTTAAGTGATTTCATACCTGGCTTGAGTAGGATTAATCAATAAAATAAATTTTTTTTACATTAAATCCAAATTTCTTGAAGACATCTTTGCATAAATGCATTTTTACCAAATTTTACCTTTCCCCTACAACTTAAACTGTTAACTGGGCTGATTTGAAAATCATAGCTTGACTCTGTTGTGTAGGATTGCAAAGAGATTATCCTGTTGAAATGCTACCTTTCAAGTAGATTTTTTTAATTTCTTCTTTAATTTAACTGCTTCACCTGTGTGTGACCTCACTGAAGTATTGTCATTTATTTGAGGTAGTTGAGGTAACCTGTTGTAAATGGTTTTTTTGCTTTAACTTTTTTTGTTCCAGGCCATGAGTGCAGCTGTCTGCTTTATGATTGATGGTAAGTACCTGTCAGCCTCACTTCTTTGGCAAGACATAGTTAGTACAAAATACTTTCACATGCAGCTTGTTTTACTCTTGAAAAATACTCCCATTAATTTGTTATTTGAGTCTCTTTTTCGTGAGTGCTTTTATCAGTCTGCTCCAATGGCTTAAGTAACTCAATTTACACACTAAATACTGCTTCAGTGAGCCACTTTCAAAATCACCCATAAGGTTGTAATTATGAGAAAAATTTGTCCTTGGACTCATACTGATGTTTAAAGAGAACAACTACAGAAACTGTACCTTCAGCTGTGGGAAGGGAATCCCATCTCTGCCCTTCCTTTCCCTGGCACAGCTTCGATCCCGCCCACGCTGGAGTTCTGCCGGAAGCTGGACAGCATTGTTGGGCCTCAGCTCACCGTGCTGGCATCAGACATTTGTGAACAGTACAACATCAACAAGAGAATATCGGGGTTTGTACCACACTTCCTGCTGCATTCCCTCATTACATGGTGAAAAGTCAGGTTTAATGAACTGCTTAAATAACAATATGAGCCCAGCTTTTGAAAGCGTTGAGTTAACTGTGTACTTTGAACAATGTTTGTCTACCTTTCTGCACCCTAAGTGTTTATGAAGTGCATGTCCTTGCATGCTTAGGTCTCCCTGAAGAAAGAACATAGATGTTACTAATTTATGAACGAGTGTTAATTGTGTGGCTGAAATCTTTTTCCTCCATGTGCATAATTGCTGCAGAGAAAATAATGTAAATACTAAGGCAAATATGACCGTTACCAATTGACATTCTGCCTCCTCCTGCCCCAGCTGTCAGCAAATCATTCAGGTAGAACTTCTTTCATATGTGCACTGAAATGAACTGACAAGTCTTCTGACACCTCTCCCCCATGCTGAGGTAGAGAAGTAGCAGTTCCCTCAAAATTTTAACCTCAGTTTATACTGTCTAGCTTTTCTTGAGGAAAACAGAATCTCATAATGTTCACAAATAGCCCTCTGGCCAGTAGAACATTTAAGTTTAAAAAGTAAATTAAAAATATCACTGTCTTTGCCCACATCCTCTTTCACGCAGATTTCCTTTGAATTCTGCTTTCCCAGGCTGCTGTTCTGTGTAATGTTCAAAAAACAGCATTTTTCACATCAAGTGGTCACTGACTGCTGGCTCTGAGTTTGCCTTAGGAACAAGGCTTGGGCAGTGTAACTCTTCACTCAGTTACAAATCCAAAAGCAAAATGAAGGTTTAGGTACCAGAACAACTCCTGTTTAACAATTTCAATCGGGGATTTTAGTGAGTGGATTATTTGGTTACAACAGAAGCTTTACAGTCGAGGACTTGATTTGCCATAAAATTGTATCTATTTTTCAACAGATGTGTTAGTTGGGGAAGCAGGAACAGTATCACATGTGGCAACAAAGGAGGAATTCAAACAAAGATAGGTGTGGGAGTGAACTCATTCAGTGGTAGCTTCCCAAATCAGCAAAATCGCACGGGATAGAATAGGATGTGCTTGAAATTGTGCCAATCTACTAAATCATTAAACTTGGGCTTTTTAAATGTCATCTGGGACTGGCTTTGGCAGCTTTAACTCTTTAAAAGTTTAATGCCATGGTGTCCTGAAAACATGATCCAGTTTCTTGACACTGATGCATGTGGCTGACGGAGAGCAGGGGTATCTGGTTGTTTGCTGAGGTGAGTGGTGTCATCACAGTATCTCCCTGGTCCTAAATAATGCATTGCCTCAAGTACCAATTGCTGTAGCCAGTTTTTGCATATCTTGAATTTGTTGTGGCTTCTACCAAAACTACAGCTCTAAGTGACAGTTGTTATATTAAGTAGATAAAAGTGGAAATGGAGGAACACTGCCAAGGCTTTGAAAATAGTCTCTTGCTTGGCCCACACAAATGCTGGGGGCAAATCTAAGTGCCTGGATCAGGGAAGAGTTTGTTCTCTGGGTTGTAACCAATACAAAGACATGAATGGAAGATGGCTTACTGATCAAAGTAAAGACTGAGCATCCATTCAAATCAGAGGGGACTGGCCTAGGGGAGAGCAGCAAGGGAACAAAATGAAGACAGAGCAAAACCAGCTCATTAGAAAAATGCAAATGAATTACTACTGTGAAGGGGGACAAGGCCCTTAGACTCCCCTGTGTCTGTTCACTGGCAGCCTAAGCAGCAGAAGGGGAAACACTGGCTGGTTCTACAGGCTCGTTTGTGTTTTGTTTTGTTTTGTTTTTTTAAAGTGTGTTAAAATGAAGTGCAATCCCACAAGTCTTAAAACACTTGGGTCTCTTCAATGTGAAGATGACTTCAGGCTGTCTAAGCTTTGCACTGCTCACTACCATTGTCTGTGAAGCCTGTGGTTATAGAACATGTCAGTATTCACAAATCACTTTTTTTTTCTTTTTAAATCTTCCTAGGGCTGAGAAGGAACCTCAGTTTAAGTTTATCTATTTCAATCACATGAACCTGGCAGAGAAAAGTACCATTCACATGAGGAAAACACCCAGTGTATCACTTGCATCTGTTCACCCCGACCTCATGAAGATTCTCGGTGACATCAACAGTGACTTCTCCAGGTAATGCTTAACTATTAAATAGTCTGTAACTCCTACTGTCAATTAGATTTTTTTTTTCCAAATGACTGAAGCTTTCCAGTCTTTTTTGTTGATGGCTGGCAGTTCATGTTTGGTATTTTGTGTTGGTTTAGAAGTAGTCCATCTTAAACAGAATTTCTAGTGTCCTTTTAAAAAAATAACTTAGAAGAGGGCCAGGGCCTCTATCCAAGAAAATATCAAATCTATTGGAGACCTCAGAGTAGTCATAACAAATGGGATGGGAAGCACTAAAGTCTGACTAATCTGGGGAAGTAGTATAAAGGACAGGGAAACCTGCTTGTGCCTGTGTCATCCTTGCCCCTGCCACAGCTGGGGGCTGCTGGGGTGAGCCAATGGATGGAATGTGGACCTTGCACTTACTGCAGTCCTGATGGAGGTGACAAGTGGCTTCTTGTCAATGGGTATCAAGCCTGAAGGTGGGAGAGACCCTCTGTCATAATAAAGAACATGAAAATGTTGAATGACTGTGATTAATTATGTAATTAACAACTAGCAATTTTCCCACTCTGCTTAAGGAAGGACAAGGTTTTCATTTTTCTATGAATGAAAAAAGAATGGTTCATCATATTATGGAAGTACTGGGTTAGTGACAGCTTTAGAGAATGTATCTAACTGTTGAGCATGGTTTAGGTCTAGGTTTAGAATTTAGTTCTGTGAAAGCTCAGAATCACCAAACCATAGCAAATCATCATTCTGTCAAGTGTGTCCTTACCAGAACAGAGGAGAGGTGTTTTCTTCAGAGCACCAGAGTGTTTAGAATATGGACAAATTAATGATTTACACATTTGGGGATGTCTTAAGCAGCCATTTATGCAGCCTTTGACTGCTGAATGATGGCTGAGTTAGAATTGGTATTCTCTTCGATACTGCACAACCACAACAACTTATGACAGGGAACTCTCCTAATGATTACGGACAAATTGTTGAAGATGAACTTGCTGCCACCTTCTTCCTAAAATTTCTTTCAGAGTTGATGAAGATGAGGAGATTATTGTGAAGGCAATGAGTGATTACTGGGTAGTTGGGAAGAAGTCTGACCAGAGAGAACTGTATGTTATTTTGAATCAAAAAAATGTAAATCTGATTGAAGTTAATGGTAAGGATTGTTTTTTATTACATTCTAGTAGTAACTGTATTTAGATGTATGTCCCTAGGGAAGTAATAAAATCCATCTCATGAGAAATGTAGAGAGTGATTGATCTTTGATAGACCAGGTGAGTTTGCCTAAGGTTTTAGTCTGCCTTCTATCAGCTGTGAAAGAACAGCATAAATATTCAGCAGACATTCTTAATTATTAATCAGTCATTATTCCTCCTTCAAATAATAGAGGAGAGATCTATGAGCTTAGTTTAGGAGTAATTAATACAGTATATGACAGGTGAGAGATGAACATATTTACATCTGAGTTGGGTTTTATTTGTCAGTGATCCAGGGGTAGGTTACTTACACATGATATCTGTCTGTCTGTCCTGTCAGGGATCCTCATCCCGTTGCTGTCTTGTTTCTAACGTGGTTTTCAGAATGATTTACTGTGACTAAGAGTGCAAATGAACATTAGGATGCAATAAGCTTTTAAATTGCTATTTCTCCTAAAGTCTGTTTGAATCTTGCCTGCAGCAATTTTTGGGCTCTCTGTCTTAACAGGAGGAATGTGCTCACTTAAACAATGGGAAAGAATTAATACTTTCCAGGACCAAAGCCTAGCAACCTACACTTTAAAAAGAGAAATGAGTTGCATGACGTAGAAATCTTTGTGTAATTGTCTCTCAGCATCAAACCTGCCACACAGAAACAGTAAATGAGTGTTTCTGTGCCTGATAAACTTAGAAAGTGTTGTCTACCAAATAGCACAAAGCAAAAGTTTTGCTGACTTGATTTATTGTACAGACTACCCTAATTCCTCCTCTCTCTGAAAAAGGGGTTATAATGTACTTCCTCAGGATGGAGCCAAGTCTGCTGTTGTTGCAGTGTAAGTTTGCCAAGATGAGTGGCCCATCATTTACACTTCAGCCACTTAAAATACAACTCACCTTTCAGACAGGGTGAGATGCCAGACTTGACTTGACTTTCTCCTACTGAAGACAGAGTAACATTAAGTGTATTTCTACGTTAGAAACTCATAGGGTTTTTTCTGTTTGAATTTAATTATATTGTCTGTGACGATCCCCAGGGTTTCTCTTGAGGAGGTTTCTGTAAAAATATCATACTGAAGTATCTTTTTTTTTTCTTATTAACAGAAGAAGTGAAGAAACTTTGTGCAACACAGTTTAACAATATTTTCTTCTTGGATTGATCTGCAAAGGGCTGATTTATTGAAGATGTCAATGTCAGGCACTTGTTCAACATGAGAAGTTATTAGTCATATTATTGACTGGAATAATGACAATAGTAAAGCAATACTTGCTTTGTAAGAATCAAAATTTCTACTAAAATCTGTAAACTCTGACCATAAAATTTTTAAATTTTAAACATGTTTATGTGCAAGCTAATTAGAAACCAGTCTGAATTCATCTGTACCATTCCATTCTGATATGTTATGTGAATATTTTGCTGGAAAATAAAGCTAATAATTGTTACACTTTTAAGGGCATCTTTTTGTTTTCCTGTGTTCATTTGCATCATTGTGTGACTATCTGATAGTTTAGTGCAATGTAACTTGCCCAAGACCCCGGTGCAAAACAGTTTCCCTCTGAAATCAATTCTTGTGCATACAGTCTTATAATATTTACAGCTCCCTACAAGTGTTGTTGTTCTGGTGTTGTTTGGGTTTGTTTGTTGTTTTTTTTTCTATTTGAAGAGAACTTGCTTGAAGTTTCAGTGGTTTTTACCAGAGGGTTTGTTTTTCTTGTTAGCAGGCCCCGTGTTACCTGCAGGTGCTGCCTTCTGTGCCTCTTTCTTCACTGAGGGTGCTTTCTTTTGGGCCTCTTTCTTCTGTGAGGAGTCTTTCCTGTGGGCATCTTTCTTTGGAGAGGGCCCTCCCTTCTGTGCCTCCCCCTTTGACAGGCGCGCTCTGCTTCCCTTCCGCGGGGACACTTCCTGTGGGACAGGATCCTCGGACGCCTCAGCAGCTGCACTCTGGGAGGCACGTGCTTTTTCTGCTGCAGCTGCTTCTTGTCTTCTTACCTCTTCTGCTTCTCTTTCAGCAATGAGTCTGAGTGGACAAAGTTTGAATTTAATGTACTGCAAGAGGGGGGAGACAGATTTATACTGGCTATGCAACTCCAGCCCTTCTCAGAGTCCGAGCAGGATGAACTGTCCTAGTGGAGAGAGGCAGAGTCTGTCTGATCACCACTTCAAGTCCAAACATGTCTTAACTGTCTTTGCCAGGAAATATCAGAGTTAAGAGTTCTGTAACCTGAAAGCAGCCTGGATTTGTTACTCCAGACAGTTACATTCTCTATGTTACTAATTACACCTGGATGAGTTTGTTTTCCAGTTCCAGTAAGCTAAACTACTTTCTTAAGCACATTTCTCATTTTCAATAATTTTGTTAGAGGAAGATAAGAGATAACAGTACTGCAAGACAAGATTCAACACTTACTTTGCCAGCTCCACATCCTTGATCTTTCTCAGCTCAGCTAATTCAACATCCTCCTTTTGCTTTTCTTCTACTTTTTGCCTCAGCACTTTCTCCTGCTGGTAAGCAGGGAAGAGCTTAGTTGTGAAAAAGATTTCCATCTGATACATCCACAGACAAAATTTTTCATCTTGTTCAGTTTTGTCTTCTTTTGCTTCATCTGCAACATGTAAATTAAACATGCTTATTTAGCAGGGCACTTCTGTTTCAAATGTGTTTTGGACTGCAGTATTTCAGCTCTGTGTCAGTGCAATGGCAAACTGGCTTCTGCATGTACAGAACGTGGCAGCTCAGAGACACTTGGAATGATGCATGGGAAAGGGATGGTCCTTTCGTGGGGCCTCAGAGTGACTTGGCCCTGGGAATGGCACCAAAAGACTGTGGACTCTCCCCTTTAATCCCAGACCTGTCTTCTGCAGTGACCTGATGACAGTTCAGGTTCTGTGAGCCCTGGGCACCGGGGAATGGAGGAGCAAATGACCACCTGAGAGGACGGAATGCAAATGTCCAGTTGTCAGAGGTGTCAGAAAACAGGACAGGGCCCAGTTCAGGGTCCTGAAGAAACACTATTTTTTCCAGATGTGTAACTTTTCAGTGATCAGATTTCAGTGGAAGAGCTGATGACCACACAAAGATTCTTGTCTACCTATGTTCCTGGATTTGAGTTCTTTATCAGCAGGAAACATTTAACAAGCACGAAAACCCAACCCAGATGAGATCTGCTAATCAGCCAGAAGATGGTACAAAAAAGTTACAAGCATCAACATAAAAAGTGCTCTTACTGATGTCTCTTCTGCATGAATGTTGGCCTGTCCTGACATAAGGCATCTTATCCCAGCTAATGGTGCCACACCACTAAGAATAATTCTTATATTAAGTAAAAGAAGCAGGACATAGCAGTAATATATTTTATTTTTCCAAGACATTAAATGAGCAGGCTCGCAGATTGAGCTTCTCATGGAGTAAATACAAATTACATCTTCTAGATGCCCTACAAATAAAATGTGGCATTTTAAAATCAGGGAAACTGTTTAAGTAAATACCTAAATGTCTGATTTAATTATGAAGTTTCATTCTCTTTTAAAAAATATTTTAAGTTTTTAAAAAAATCTTCCTCGAGAATAAATGTTCATTTACTGCCCTCTTGTGACAAGCTGAAATCTGCATATACAATGAAAATTTCACTATTCAAGAGCTACAAGGGATTTTTTTGTGGGGGTGTTAGTAAAAAATCAGTAGGACTTCTTTACCTCCCAGTTCCTTTGCTGGAGAGGAATCTGGTTCTTTTCCTGCATCCCAGCTGGACAATGACAGATCATCTTTGCTGTCTGCACAAGCTGGGGCAAATGAGAGGACAGTCTCTGATAATGCAAAGAGAGAAAATTAGAAGAACTCACTCTTTAATTCTATGCATTAAATATCAAGTTTGATCTTCAGCACAAACAAATATAGATTGTCCCCTGACCTGACAGCTAGACTTGTGGTTAAAATGTTTCTGAAATTATGAAAAGTTTGTCTATAATGAAGGCAACAGTGCAGAGTTCAATCTCTTGTTTCCATGCCCAAATGAGTGGGATAGAACAGGAAGAATTAAGGTTTAAAAAGCCTTTAAAGTTATTGTTAAGGAAAAAGTGATTGCTTCTAATTAAAAAGCACAGAAAATTCAGAGATTCAAACCTGCCCAGTTCTCTGTGTGCAGTAGGTATGGAAAGCTACACATAAACCCTGTCATAATTGCCAAATTGAATGGAGTGCCCTGTGTAACTGCAATACATCAGCTGTTTCAATGATCACCTTCGGTTTTAGTTGTCTTGAAAGTTTCAGAAAGAGTGAATCTCCTCTAGCACCTCTATTTTTATAGATGTTCATGGTAACTGCAGTACTCACCCAGAAGAGATGCTTGCTGACACTGCTCTTTGTCTTCACGAGACCTCAGTGGCTGGCAAGAAGTTTTAAATTCAGTTACTAAACATCTGGGCTTGTGTTCAAATTAAAAGGTGAGATCCCATGTCCCTTTGAGTCATACAAATTCCCATCTCCAAAGCATTCTGCCAACCAAATGCATTCTGCAATCATGCCTATCTCAAAACATTAAAATTGCAATAGTGTTTCACATTTTCAAGTATTAGCAGGTAACACTTTACCTTTGATACCTGCCAGGCAAGCAGGATTATCCTATTTCAGAGCTAGGGAAAGACAGAAATACAGAGAATGAAAGCTCCTGTTCTTAGACATGTTCCTCTGTTCTCACATGTTGCTCTACATGCTATTGTTCATCTGCTCCTGAGTGCACAGCTCAGCTGCCTCAGAAATGTCATTGCTTATGTCTGCACCAATTGTACTTCTGCTGTATATGCACTAATGAAGTGTAAACACAAGAAGAATTTTACCCTCAGTACATTTAAATTAAGATTTTCTTCTGGTCTTGGAAAATCTGACTGTTTTAACTGGACCACTTCACTGTGCAACTGTGCCTATGCCTGCAGTGATTCAAGGGAATGGGTCCACAGGATGGGAACAACTGGCCAAAGAATGGGAAGTGGTGGTGTACAGTGGCACTACTGGCTTACAGAGACTGGGAAATTAGGTGTTTGTGAGTGCTCTTGGAATTAATAAAAATACTTTCACCTTGTGCATAATTCCAAAGAATAACAATTCTAATTCATGCCTTCAACTACCCTGTGCATCCAAATTGCACCTGTGTCACAGGCAGCATCTTACAACCTCCAAAATCCTTATTCAAAAGTTTAGCAAAAAGAAAAGAGCACAGCTTAACTGCTGGGAAACAGCAAGGCTTGCTACCTACAACAGCTGCAATGTCATTTTAGACATTCAGCTTAAAGCAGGAGAGAAGTCTTCCACCAGCCAACCAATCTGTCATTTATGTGTATTTATTACTTTATGTATATTTATAGTTATCTAGGAAAACGTGCAAATGTGTTAAAACTGTCCACACTGATGATACAATTTAAGGTAGTAATGAACAGGAAAAGCAGAAGGACCCAATCAAACAACTGTTTATGCAAAGAGGGAACATTTGGTTTCTACGTTCAGGAAACAGAATATTTGCAGAGCCTGCCTTTGCCCTCTAAGTGGACACATAATAATATTTAACAGGGCTGCATCAATTTTACCTGAGAATATCCTGAGTACAAAGTTGAGTTTTCCCTGGAGAAGTTCTTGAATCTAAAGCTAGCTCTGTTCTGATTCTCATGAGCTATTTGCTCCTTAACCATATCATGGGTAACGTACACCACTGCACATTCAAGAAGAGCTTCAAAAAATTCCAGAAAAACCAACTAGAGTAAAAGAAACACAATGGTTAAATTCATTCATTTTTGCAAAATTCCTTCATTAACAGGCACGTATAACTGAGCAAGCAAAGAACTCAGAAGTGATTGTGAAGTCTCACTGGCCTCACTTAACTAGTCAAACATCTCTTCTTCTGAAGAAAAATTGAAAACAGCCAAAGCTCAAAAAATTTAGGAGGTGATACACTGTGTTACATCTTATACAAGTCATATTGAACTAAACTGCTGCATAGATTTTTGTTTTATCTGCAGCTGTAAGAAATTTCTCTAAAAAGTAACTCACAACTACGGCTATTACCTAAAATATTTTACTTGAACATGATGCTTCAAGAAACCCCAAGAATGTGTGTAAAACGGCTCCCCTGGTAAGACTCACCATGTGTGTTCAGTTTATCTGTTTAGAACAAATTCAGTTGAGCAATTTACAACAGAGCATTGCTAATTCTTGAAGGGTGAGAACCCTCCAAACTGGGCCAACTCTTGGGGACCACAAGAGTCTTCTACAGTCACTGAGGTGGCAGCACTTCACATGGCACTAATCAGCTTTCTTGAATCACCAGATTTTCAGGATCACTGGGTTCAGATCTTAATTATTGATCCATTTTAACAGCCTTGGCAGCTGGAAGTGCAGAGATTGATCTCTGTGTAATCACTGACATACATCTTGTCAGGCAGCTGCCTCACAGACACAACTACCACCAG